CCACTTTTTTTTTGGGGGGGGGGGGGGGGGGGGGGGGAAGAGTAACTTCAGAGAGAGTTCAGCTTCGAGTTTAAATTTGTCCTGCAAAAGAAATACCACGTCGTCCGAAAAACAGAAGCGCAGCAGACGAGTTTCTCCCTTTCCTCAGCAAAACAGATCAGTTTGTGATCTACGACTGGCAGTTCCATTCCCAACGCACCAGGAACCTGGCCCAGGTCCAATGCATCTTGTGCATCTTGGACCAGCAACAGATCCTCTTGGCGAATGGGGAACACCTGGCCCAGTTCAAAAAGTGGTTCAAACAGGGCCCATTTGCACGGTCTCTGTGATTTCAAAGACCACGGACCGCTGCCGCCGCAGTGCCACGTCCACCATTTCCAACACATATGACCCCTGCCATCTCCAACATGCACACACACAACCACCGGACAAGTGAAGCGTCAATGTCATGTGCGACATGGTTCGCCCTGGCCTGCTATGTGCTCTGCCTCACTTTGGTGATGTGGGGTCTGCATGTGCCGCAGGCCAGGGCACATGCGCCCGGACAAGCCATGGGGATTTGGGGAAGACTGCCGCTGAAGGGAAGAGGAAGAAAAAAAAGACAGGCACGCGTGCACATGCCTGACCACAGACACACAGAGTCAGACATGCACAATCACATGCAGACCGACATGAGCACACACACACACACACAAATGAGTCGGTGAAAGTGCGAGTAAACGCTCTGGCACAGTCATGCTTCTTTTTTGTGGAGTTGTGCATGGTGCACATGACCACACGCACACACAGAGGTGGGTGCAGGTGCCCGTGTCTGCTTCATGCCCTGCATTTGCTGTGGGCCAGGGTACAGGCCCCCATACATGCTGTGAGGCCAGGGGCCCGTGTGTACACACAACGTACCGTTCGGCAAGGAAGAAGAAGAAATCAAGGGTACGATCAGAGGAAAGAGAAGCAGCAGCAGCAGCAGCAGCAGAAGAAGAAGAAGAAGAACAAGGAGGAGGAGGAGGACGAGGAGGAGGAGGAGGAGGAAGAACAAGGAATAAAAAGAAGGAAACAAAAAAGGGCATGCATTATGTTTGGGGGAGCCTCAGGACAGAAGTAACTGGCTATGAAAAGGGAAGGAAAAGAAACGCAACGTTGACTGCCAAGGGGTTCTCTTCAATGCGTAATTTTTCCTTCCCAGTATACGTCATCCCTCTCCCCCTCAACCTTTTCCAACTCCGCCACTTGCCCCTCTGTTTTGCTGTTCTCTGATTGGCCACTACCCCATACAACCTGACAAATAAAGTACTTGCCTTTTATTGAGTGGGGCTCGTCATCGTCCCAGTACCAAGTGACCGCCTGTCCCACATGAATGGTTGTGGAATGTGTCACATTCCTTCGCCATGGTAGCCTTACTCCTTCCGAATCTGCAATAACAACAGCGGCGGAGTTACGGCAATTACAGTCAGATTTTGTTCAAACTAATTGCAAGACTTAGTGTCAGTATGGCCATCAAAAACCTTTGCCACATTCCTCAAAATGCGGTTGTGAGATGGGTTGGTGAGCATTGCGGCCCAGTGCAGGATACTCTCGGCCCGGAGAGAGAGAGAGAGAGAGAGAGAGAGAGAGAGAGAGAGAGAGAGAGAGAGAGAGAGAGAGAGAGTCGGCCGTTAACCCTGACACAGGTGAGGCAGGTTGGTACCTGCACTCTGGAGCTGAAATGCCAACTGCCCTACCCTGAACGTGTACAACTTTTTCAAAAGAAAGAAATTGACAGTGTGCCATGAAGGGAGGGTCCATTACGTTTAAGCCTTAAACCACCAGTACTTGGCCGAGCTATTGGCCGCCGAAAAAAAAAATAGAGTAGAAACATTTGTAGTCAGATGAATCTGGGCGCTCTCAGGCGGCTCCTGTAGCGGCCCGTCTGTTTCTCAAAATTGTGGCTTGTCAACAGGCACGACTTTAGGAAGTACTGGTGGTTTAAGGTCAAGCACCGGTTCCGACGGTTCGTCCACACGCTGAGCAACCAACCCTGCACCGTGTTATGAACCTGGTTGTTTGTTGTCAGAAGGCCATGACTCGCCACACATAGACTTCCAGGTATGCCCATACATAGACAGAAGGAAGGGGGAGAGGATGGGAGTTTCACTTCGCACAGGGAGAAATAAACACAGCGGAAGACTTGACCATGCGATATGACAGAGAACACTAAAAGTGCACTTCGCTCCACAAAATCCTCGCAGCCAGTCACAAAGGAAAGCCGAGTAGATCACATCCAAGAAACAATGGAGCAAAGATAGTCGGCACACAGTTTACACTGTCACTGTTTATTAAACTCAGAGTCTTGAATTGCCCGGAAAACCCCGGAGCCATAGTGCGCTGCTCAGAATTGAGCAGCGCTTCACTCCCCAACCCTGAGTGACCGCTATCTCTACCCCTGAGTCGCTGAAACATCAAGCGCCACCCAGATACAGCCTCCAGAAGGCAGCGCCACCTTGAAACAGGCCTCTGAGGCCAAGCGTCTCTCAGAGGATGAAGAAGAAGACCAGCGCCACAGTATCTGATGATGATGAAGTGCCGAATAACTTCCCGGGTGGAAGTCTGCAGCAGCGCCACCTCTCCTGACAAGATGATCTCTGAGGAAGAAGCTGCAGCTATGGCTGCAGCGCCACACACCCTGTAACCCTACTCCGGAAAAGGGTCCAGCAGGGCACCACTTCTCTCGCCCCCAGCAGACCTCGCGTAGCCCAGACCTCTGAGCAGCCCCACGTGCTCTCAGAGTACAGTGTCAGTCCCAGCTATGGCTGACACTCCGCAGGTCCGGCTATGTCCGTCTTCTCCAACGATGAAGCTATCCCCACCTCCAGTTCACGCGTTGCACAGCAGCGATGTACACTGTACCAACTGCCAAAAACCCCTGAACCGACGTCCTCATCCTTTCTATAACCTACACTAGCCTAGACACGACCTAGACCGGACTGACTGGACCGACCGGTACCATTTCAGTTTCGGCCTCTAGGGCCTCTCCCAACCCGGCTATAGGCTATAGGACCGTCTATCAGCTTAGGCCCACAAGGCCTATCTGTCCTGGGGGTAGCCCGGGTCTGCTATTTGCAGTTAGGGTAGCCCTAGGCAATTTTAGTTAGTACGGGCCTGTATTTTCCCGAATTTACAGATATGTCCCTCAAGAATTTTCCCTACAGGTAGGTCTCTCGGTTAGCCCTCAGCCAATCAAAATTACGAATCTATACTACCTATGGTACAGCCTCGACAAGAGAGCCTACAGGCAACCAGAAACCAGCAAGTCATTGCAAACCGTCAACAAATGGCAAGCTGCTCGTAAAGCTCGGTCTCTTTCTCGCAAACTGACACAACGAGTAGAGATCAGACTCGTCAGAGGATGTCACTGGGTTCTTAACTTCGGAATTTCAGTATTGACATAGTCGATCTTCTGCGTGCTCCTGTGCATAATGCCGTTACTGGGTTCTTAACTTTGGAATTTCAGTCTTGACGTAGTCGATCTTCTGCGTGCTCCTGTGCATAATGCCGGTGGACCTTTGCCACCGATGATCTTGAAGTCGTCGTTGGGGTCGGAGTTCTTGAAGTTGTATCCTCGCAAAGCTGCACCAAGGAATGACTAGCTGACCTTCGTGCCAGCCAATGGTCTGTGAGGGTGCTGTTCATGAATGGCATGAACTGTTGGACCAGAGCGGATACCCTTTTTTCTTTTTTTCCCCCTTCCCTCCCCCCTTGTTTTTTTTCCTTTTTCTTTTTCTTTTTCTTTTGTCCCCCCAATGCCTCTGTCCAAATGTCAGTCTGAAGTCAATGTCGTCAACTCTCTCTCTCTCTCTCTCTCTCTCTGGGTAGAAACTTATGATTGTTTTGCACCACATTTAATCAGTATGGGACATTGGGACCGGGACCATAGGCGGAACTAATATTGTGGCTCCATGTTGCATGGCAGTTTGGGACTCCAGGACTCTAGGACTCCGGGACATCAACAACGGACCGAGAAGGACCGGTATACGTGAGAGACTGTCGTCACTGTCCAGATGCATTGCGCAAAGAGATGAAATCAGTTTTAACTTTTAAATTACCGCCATTGACAAGTATTTTCAGCCAAATCAGCGCAAAAAAAAAGAAAGGAAGATTTAAAGAAACAAATGCAGATTCTGATTAGAGCATAACACCATGACTCATGAGGGAACTGAATCTGCTCTTAAATAGCCTTTTTTTTTTTTTTTTAACCTTAAACTCCTTGTACATTAATTACACAAGCCGGGAGCCGTGCCCGGCATCCCTTGGTACAAAAGTTTGTGTGGCCCCAGTGAGAGAATAAGGCATCACCAGCCGAACCCTCCCCAGGGACGACCGCTGATCCGCTGCCAATCAACAACATAAAACAAGAAAGCGTAACCAACCATGTCTAACATCAAACATTGAAATCAGCTCCACTGTATGGCCCCCAACTATTACTTAAAAGAGTCTTAAGACTGGCGTTTCATGTAGCATATACAGCACCGGGACTTCCCGGTGGGTCACCCATCCAAGTACTATTCTGGCCAAACGGCGCTTACTATTCTGGCCAAACGGCGCTTAAACCACCAGTACTTCCTAGAGTCGTGCCCGTTAACACGCCACGATCTTAGGAAACATACGGGCTACTACAGGAACGCCCAAATTCATCCGACTAGAAACGTTTCTACTCTATTTTTTTCCGCGGCCGATAGCTGGGCCAAGTACTGGTGGTTTAACTTCCGACTTTGGATGGGATTCAGACACATTCACCGTGGTATGGCTACTCATTTCCTACCTCCTCCAATTCCCTTTCTTTTCTTTTTACGAAATCATGATCAAGGAAAAAACACAGACACAAAGACACACAAGGCACTCACACACGGAATATATATAAATAAATAAATAAATAAATAATAATTAATAATTAAAAAACAAAATCATAGTTGACAAACCAAACTTGCCTTTGGGGCATTGCTCAGGGATCAAAACTATGGCCGGATTCAATGCTTCCAGTCGGGATCTGATGGTATCCTGGAAGCTTTGATTGGCCACCATTACAGATTGTATTGCCTTCATCACCACTCCAATGAACAGCTCCTGCAAAAGAGGAAAAAAAGCACAACTCGTCATGCTCATCGTGTTATCTATACTCTTACTTAAACCGCCAGTACTTGGCCCAGCTATCAATGCCGAGCCTGGAATGCCCCTGCGTGCCAATTTTTGGCGAAGCGCTGGGGTACCGTTTCAATTTTTTTTTCAATTTTTTTTGGGCTGGCGCTTCCAGCCATGATTGTGGTCCGGTACCCCGAAGCCCTAAAGGCGCGGCGTGTTAACGGGGAGACGCCGCCGCCGCCGCGGTCGTGGCCGAGAGCTGGGCCAAGTACTGGTGGTTTAAGTGTAAGGTGGGTCTGGCGTAACGCTCCGGCCAGGCCGGGCTTGCACTCTTGGGAAAAGGCACGGAACAGGGGACAGGGGCCGAACAGAAACTCTTACATGCGCATCTTGCTTTTGCTCAGGTTCGAATACAAATACATAGGGCCTCGCCACACGGCACACGAAACGAAAACGAAACGAGTGCCCCTGCCCAAGGAAGGTGGCAAAATACACTCGTTACTATTTATAGCAAACTGATGAACCTGACCATTTTCTGGCAGAACATGCACTCGTTTCGTTTTCCGTTCGTGTGCCGTGCAGCGACGCCCATACCAAGGTAGGGATACACGGTGAATTCGGCGTGTGAAGGCTTGGAGTTCTTTGTTTTTCTTTTCCGCCCTTTTCTTGGTTTGTGCATGTTGGAAGTTTGTGCATGTTGGAAGCTATGTATCACCTGCGGTCGTGACCGCGGGCCTGCTGACCGCATGCGGTCGGGATCATGGCCGCGGGGGCCGAGTGCGGCCGTAAAACTCCAACATTTTTAATTCCTAGAATAATAAAAGAGCCTTTACCCGATTCAGACCCTGTTCGGCAAATGCAGCATAGAGGGGTCACTCGCCAGGGCCCAACTCATGAAAGCAGATCAAAGGACATGTTCTCTGGGTCAAAAGTCACATCCTAGCTAAGCAAAAGCCAATGTCAAAGGTCACAGTTGTGCCCTCTACGAACAGCTGCAATATCTGGACTTGGGAGTCACATCTGTTCGTTCAGGGGGTGCGCAGGTCATGTCTTCAGGCAAGAGTTGTCTGTTCGTGCAGTATGAGTGTCTGTTCGTGCAGAATGTGTCTGTTCAAAAGGAAGTCAAAGGGCAGGTTCCCAGTTCTGTCTAAGTCTAATAGGGGGTCTAGACTCAGACACCCAGTCCGAAATCCAGGCCAAATGGCCGCAGCAGCAGCAGACCTTCAGAGGGAAATACTGGGACACACACATATGCATGGGTCTGGGACTGAAGGAGGCCCAAAGTGCCAATGCAGACCAATGCAGACCTCGCCAGGGGAGGCCAGCAGTATAAAGCAATAGGCCAGCCTCCCTTGACATCAGATCCCCACTGGCATTATCAGCGTGGAAGTGCTGCGTGCACTTGTGCGCTGGCTAGCTGGGTTAGCACTGGAGGAGGAAGCTGCGCTAGAGAAGAAGGAGAAGGTTGGGCGCTGGCTAGCAAGTGGCAGCCATAGCAGCCCTTCGAGTTAGTATAGTTAGTGGGTTAGGACTTAGTCTACAGTGAGTAGCATTCAGAGCAGATTCTCGAAGTAGGAGTGAGCAAGCATGATGAGAGAAGAGGACCAAGGCTGAGATCTTGAGGAAGGAGAGGGAGAGAAGTAAGAGACAGGTTGACGAGTTGGCTATGGTGACTGCTTACCTGTTTTGCGCTTGACAAGTTGCTGAGAGGTTGGCGCTGGCTCAGCCAGGCCCCATTGTGCTGATGTTCGAGAGAGGGACATATCACGATTGTTGAGCACTTGGATTCATGAACTCCAGATACTCTTCATAATGTATTTGAGATAATATAAGCTGCGCGACTTGGTTCTCATCTCATCCCCATTCTGCGTTGTGTGTGTTGAGTCATAATCTGTGTGAAAGGTGACATAGCATGCTTTGCGATACACTCTGGCAAGACGAGGTCAGTCAGGACCCTTGCAATAATAAGCAGAAAAAAAAAAAAAAACATATACAGGGTTGTAGGGTTTGAAAAACCCTACATCCCAATAATTTTTGTTTCGTTTTTTGATGTTTTTTCAACTTTTTGTGATTTTTACAAAATGGAAAACGAAAAAAACAAGTATAATCAAAAGAAACATAATAAAAAAAGGGGGAACTTTTTTTTTCTCATTGTTTTCGGATTGCTGGTGGGATAATCATGGTGCAGTTGATTTTTTTATTCTTTTTTTTTCCCTACATATGAAAATATAAAACGAACAAAAAAAAAAAGATATAATGAAAAAAAAAACAAAGCCGTTTTCTTTTCTTTTTTCCTTTTTTTTTCCGTTGTTGATAGACACACGTACTGAGTGATTGATTGATTGATTGATTCATTAGAAAAAATAAATAAAAATGAACGCGCTAGTTTGTGTGTGTGTGTGTTGTCATATTCGCTATACACTCAAAGAAAGCATGACGGTACCAGACTGTTTCATCGGGTGTGTGTGTGTGTGTGTGTGTGTGTGTGTGTGTGTGTGTGTGTGTGTGTGTGTGTGTGCGCGCGCGCAAATGTGTGTGCGCACGTGTGTGTCTGCGTGTGTGTGTGTGTGTGTGTGTGTGTGTGTGCGTGTGTGTGTGTGTGTGTGTGCGTGTGTGTGTGTGTGTGTGTGTTTGTTCGTGTGACTGTGTGTGTGTGTGTGCACGCACGCTTGTGTGTCACACTGTGTGTGTGTGTGTGTGTTGTCATATTCGTTGTACACTCAAAAAAAGCACGACTGTACAAGACTGTTTCGTCGGACTTTCACTGACTCATCAGGAGGTTGAACCCCGACAGTCTTCCCAGGATGCATTTGACTGATGGATAAGGACTCGCCACATCGCCCAGAGTTAGCGATACCCCTGAGAAAAGTGGTCAACTTTACTCACACCAACCTTGTGTGTGTGTGTGTTTGTCTGTGTGTGCCGGGGGGGAGGGGAGGGAGGACCCCTCCCCCACCAATCAATCAATCAATCAATCAACCAACCAATCAATCAATCAATCAATCAACCAATCAATCAATCAATCAATCAATCAATCAGCCAACCAACCAACCAATCAATCAATCAATCAATCAATCAATCAATATATATATATATTTTTTTTTTCACACACCAACCCCCCCCCCCCCGAAATTTTGTTTTTTTAACTTTTTTTTTTCGAGGGGGTAGAGTCGGGGTTCCGGAACCCCAATCCGAAACCCCTACCCCCTACCCCCTCTCCCCTTGGCCGTGGCGGGCCGCGGCAGACAGCGGCCTCGCGGCCGCGACCACGGGCCGCAGTTGTGCCCGCGGTGACCGTGGCCGCGGGTGTTTCATAGGTTGGAAGTGCTCGTTTGAAGCCTCACCCACTACTCTCCAGATGCACAAAAGACAAAAAAAACATGTCGTTCCTTGCTCCGCGACCCTCCACATGCACAAAAGCCAAAAAAACGTTTGGCAGTGTATCTTTCCATGTTCTAGTGTAGGATCCTTGCCTCTTTTTTTGTGGTTTTCTTGGGCAGTAGTGGGGCCAGGGCCTTTGCACGTCCTTTTTGCCTTTTTTTTGGAAGTGTTTGTTCAAAGCGTCCCCCGACACATGCACAAACAAACAAAAAAAAAAAAAAAAAAAAAAACCTAAAAAAAAAAAAAAAAAAAAAAAAAAAAGTCCCCCCAAAAAAAAAAAAAAAAAAAAAAAAAAAAAAAAAAAAAAAAAAAAAAAAAAAAAACATCTCATTTCGTTTTTCTGGTCGTAACGGTTTAAATTTCTACCTTCCTCCGCGGCTGTGGCTTTTCCCCAAAATAATGAAAAAAAAAAGAAGGTTGTGTTTTGTTTTTTTTTTTTTAATTTGATCATTTCATTGCAAATAGAGCGGAGGTCGGGAATACCTCACAAACAACCCGGAAGAACTGAGGCCGTTAATGATTACTCAGCTTCGGCTTGTGCTGTAAATTATTTATGCGGCTGTCAAAGGTTATTTAGATCAAATTCAGATTTCTCAAATTCTTAAATATGAACAAGAGTTGTTGAAATCAGTTGATCCAAGTTTGCTTTCTGCTATTGCACAACAAAAAACAATCACTGAACAAATCGATAGTCAACTGCCTAACTTTTGTCCAAAATTTCCAGTGTCCCCTTTCCTAACTCAGGGTCTCGCCGCACGTCGCACGAAACGCAAACGAAACGAGTGCATCTGCCCAGGAAAGGTGGCAAAATACACTCGTTCCTATTTATAGCAAACCGATGAGCCTGGCCAGTTTCTGCAGGAAGATGCACTCGTTTCGTTTTTCGTTTCTTGTCCCGTGCCGCGACGCCCTCATTCTACAGACATCTTCCAAAAATTAACACTTTATTAATTTAACACTGACACGAATGCTACAACTTCCTAACCCTAAACCACAAACACTGGAAAGTGAGACTGACGCATTTGGCCAACCCTTATCAAGACTCCAATCCGAGCTGCACTCCACAAGGCCACCCCAGGCCTGTTCCAGGACGCGGGGAACAGCCGAGTAACACTGTCAGCTAAATTAACTCACTCACACTGACCCCTCACCTTTGTCAGAGCTGCCCTCATATCTTTACCATCCCAAAAAAAAAACACTGTAAAAAGCCTGAGCTGCCATGATGACGGGTTTCCCACCACGCACCCTTGGATCTTCGTTGTATAGCGATCACAATGGTTGCAACTCAAGTTTGCTCTTCACCGGGTCTCTCTTAACACCTAGGTGACCTAGCGAGTACCATTCCCACCGCCCCTTGATACACTCTCACTGATCAAGATTCAAGACGGCGCCGCTGCTACCGTCTTCCCCCAAACACAACGCACCCTCATTTTGTGTGCATCGGACCAGAAGCCTAGTAGCCTCTATACATTCATAATGAGGGTGCGTTGTGTTCGGGGGAAGACGGTGGTAGTTCCATGAACTTTGCTCTCAGACTGAACCATAATCAAAATACCTCGCTCTCTCCATTGTAGTCCGTTGTACCAAGATTCTCGGACCACAGATGTCTACACGAGGCAGCACAAGGAGACCAAATTACGTGTATCTATTTTGTTTTGCCGAGACTATCAACCATACTACAAGAAGCAAGCTATAAGCTATAAACGACTGATCTCACCTATGAAATTGCATCGGACAATTGACGAGAATTTATGAATCAACCCTGGAGTTGTCGCTACATGCGTGCAACCCGACAAACTCTACTACTTAGGGGCCAGCTTTACAAATTACAACAGATATTCCCATATTTTTTTACATGCTTCTAAATTCAAAGCACTACAGAGTCTGACATTAAAGTGACACTGGGATATGGGTAGATATATAATAGAGAAAACTACGGCGCAGTCAGGGTTCAAGTTGAGGCAAAAGGGCCGGTAAATTAAATGCTGAATGTATATGACCTACGTTTCGGGTCCGGTGCGGTCGCATGGGGGTGTGTTGTATTCGCGGGATTGCCTGAAGTGCAATTACAAACTGTTTTCGTGACTGCGCCGAAGTTATTACCCCTATATAATATAAATCATACCATTCTTCCTTTTAATCTGGTGGCCTACACGAATGGCCAGGTACCCAACTCCGACAATCCAATTCAAGTTAGCTAATGGAAGAGCTGAAGAAACACAGAGTATGAGTAGTGACAGGTAATCTGCACAGGAAGCCTTGAAGCTATCAAAGCGATCTCGATCATAGCAAGGAAATTGAATCTAGCCTAGGTTTGCGACCTGAAACAGAACATCCCAAATTAAATCCAACCTACCAAGTCGGCTAGATGAATCCGCTAAACTCCCGAAGGAAGCACTAAAAATCGTTGCCAAGATAGAAAAACAAACATGTGCAGCAATGAGTGCCCGACAACTTAATATCTCCCTCCAAACGGAAGGGAGTGACGAAGGAACTATAGGATCATGGAAGTGACCAATACTACGGCCAAGTGATATATGACGACTAACCAATACGAGGAGTCGAGGACTGCTTATACTTCCAAAGTAACGCTTGATAGCTGCCTCGTCATGGCACTTGATGATGAAGTAAACTTCAGATGCCTTCATAATCTTAGATTACCTACTGCCCGAGACAGTCCTATAGCCTATAGGTTGCTTTGGGTTGAGTCAGTTGGATTAGATATGACTGCTGGGATGGCCATCTGCCCATTCAACTTGAAGCAGCTGGATAGACCAACACCATAGCAAAGGCTATCATGGTGGGCCAAGCAGTTGCACGCCTGTAGAATCTCTCGCTTTGCCGCTCACAGGATATGAAAACATACCGCCGTGAACCCTTGGTTCTGCTGGTGGCGATCCCACCGCTGTCAGCAGTACTCCCACTCCTACAGAGTCCCACTTACCGCACCGCTCCCACAGCACCGGGGTGCTAAGCATTTTGTTTCCTCCTTTCAAACTGTTGTGTCTGGTAGACGTGTCGAACGAGGCTTGCTGAGGCTCTTGGATATGTCGAAGCGCTGCCACCACCACCACCGGTCCACCGCACGCTCTCCCACTGCATCCGATTGCACCACTCTCGCCTTCCAAGCTTTTCCATAGTAAATTCGTACTCGCCCTTACTGTATCCGGCCAGCAGTCGGGGGCCGGTACATCAGGATTGAGAACGATAGAGCAATCTCGATACTGCCAAGGGAGTCGAGATGGTATAGAGAGGTAAGTGAAAGTTACATGAAGCTCAGGTACATAATATGTGGGTGTTATAGATAGAGTGCTTGGAGAGGGGGCCTGCCCGGTTGGCCATCCGCCCATTCAAGAGCCGGAGCAGCCAACTTTATAGCACAGGCTATGGTGAACCTAGCAGGTGCCCGCCCGTTGTAAGGTCTCGCCCATACTCCGTGCAGGACAGGCAAGCCAACGCCAGCCGCTTACGGTTCAGCCAACCATAGCGTTCCCACCACTGCCGGTAGGCTCCCACCGCTACCAGCTGCGCCGCTAGAGTAGTGCCGGTAGCGCTTTGTGGAAGTTCGCGCTGCTCCCCTCAAGTAAGCTACATTGAAGTTACTGTACCGTTGTGGGGTTTTCCGAAGGGTTAATAGCAAAAATATTGCTGTTTCGAAGTTTGGCAGCAAAAATGTCATCTGTTCGAAGTTTCCTTTGCAAAAATAGAGGTTTCGTTGCAGCTTTATCGGGTTCCCATAGTTTGCCAGCAAAAATACCGCGTTTTGCCAAGTTTCACAGCGAAGGACCCCTAGGCCTCTGGCCTCAGGGTCTCAGGGACTCAGCGT